TCGAGATGCTTACATCAGGTCGTCAATGGCCGTTCTCGAGATATTCGGCCAGCTGGTCGAGAAAACAGTAGCTGTTTCATCATCCTCAATGTAAACATTCTCAAAAACTGCCCAAAACATATCATAGCTAGTATTTCTTTATCTAGGGAAACAGCAGTTATGCACAAAGCATTTAAGAAATATCTGAATTCTGACCATGTCAAGACGCGCGAAATCAGCCATTTGTATCAGGAAGGCTACTTTAGCAGTTTCTCAATTCCGACACATGATTAATGACAACAGATGAGCATGGAAACGAATATGGACGTGAACACTCACAGCTGCGTCTTGAGACTCAGCTCTGCCTTAGTCACAACGATCCGTGAACGTTCACTCAGAACGCTGCAGAACGGACATTCTGATTCGTTAGTCGGTGTTTTCCTCCCATTCTCTATCAACAGTAAACACGACCACCAAGTGCGTGAGCTTCTCCACATGTTTCACAGCTCATAATTTTAGAGAGGAGTTCCACAAAAACACTAGGCCCTTGGATTTAAATTCATACCGTTATCGCTACAGACCAGTTTCGCAAGATGCCAACAAAACAACGTCATTCGCAAACAACAACCTCCTGGCGTCTACATCTCCTACGCAGATACACTCGTCATCCTGGATGTGCCCCCTATTCTAACCATGTAAAACATAAACAAAAAAGGGAACAGAAGACAATCTTGGCACACATCAGTGTCAAAGTTGAAAGGTCCTGAACTTAATCTCATATAGAGTGTAGCACCTGCTACCAACATTAAACTGTCTGAATGGCTCGCCACAATTGGCAACCGATCTTGTACTTTTGCAGTCAAACTCATGGCCTGTCGCGCATTATTCAGTCATATGATTTTTCCACATCTACAAATCAGGTGTTAACTGTATGAACGAATTTTCAGATTTCTCAATACTAGCGTATGGCGAAGATCTCGGTAAAAGCTACATTGCCATTATTGGGTCTGGCGTCTGCTATTCTGCAACAACTGTTTTCCAAAATCTTTGCCTAGATCTCTCCGGAATATTCAGTGAGGCAATGTCACCATAATTTGAGGATTCCTTATTACCCCAAAATCAACATCGGCAGTACGACTTGGTTCCTTCAGACCATTCATGTTCTCTCCTAGACCTGTTGCGTGACAGACACGTATTAGTCACAACATGTCTTGGTCGCCTAAAGCTTTAAGGAGCAAAAAGAGAATTTCACTGACTCCAGCAGCCCTGCCATTCTTCATGCGTTTAGCAGTTTTTGATATGTCGTCTACTGAATGATTAATATTCGTTACCCCGTACTCCCTCACACGAGTCTCGCAGAGTTCACTCGATAATAAGGAATTCCTCGAAATACCATTTTTACCGCAGAAATATTTCGTATTCCTTTGTAGGAAGCCACCCAGACTGCTGTCCCGAAAGACCCCTAGAATGCCTTACTTTCCATTTCGGAGACAACTGGCGGTCTCCAGAATGCATTGTATGCCGTTTGAAAGTTTGACTATAATACGGCATTGAAAATTTTCTGAGAATCAGTTTCAGACGCTTTACGTACTTCTTCGTATCACTTACAACCTAATGCCGCCTTGCTTATAAGCCATCTCTTGCATGCAGGAAAACTCTAGCTGACAGCCGGCTGAACCTCTAGTGTGCACGAAACAGCTCATTTTTGATCTACAGGCGGCAGGCCAATCTGCGTGAATCAGCAGCATTCGGCGACAGCCTTGAGCATGCAGCTTTTAAAGAGCTTCCACTCGGATTTTAAATCAGCGATCATCACCGGTATCTGTATCTGTATTAAACCGTCGTGAGATGTTGTTTGCAAGTCTAGCTCTCGCATTCGCTGAAGATAATGTCTTCACATTTGATGTTTTGTTGCTTATGCCACCAGCTCATCGCATGGTACTCCATTTCTCAAGGAGTGGCGTGCCAACTACAAGATGATGATCGTCTGAAAGTTATTCGTCTTTCTTAACTTTCCTAGCATTCATTAGAGAGCGTCGTAAGTCCAACGACACGACTATCAAATCGATCATCAATTTATGTGCACAAGCTTCCTTCTATCAGGTATAATGATGCACAGTCCGACGATCGAAGCAGGTGTTCATAATGGAAGTCCCTTATTTGTACAAAACCACAGCAAACTTCATGCTGTTATTCTTGAGGTCGCAAGGACCGTTTTTTTTCAGTCACACCTTTCCAGTTTTCTTCAGTGTCTGATCTGACATGCGCAGTAAAATCGCCTATAAGAATGAAGGACTCCGTAGTCAGCACTTCGCACACAGTACACCACTTTCTCAAGGAAGGACTCAGATTCTCCCTCTATATTTGTCGTATAGACCTGTAACAAGGTCAACGCTTTAGACTCCTGTAGCTTCGGTCGGAGAAATGCCACATTTCCGCTGATAGGCTTCCAATCAATGATTCCATCAGCGAAACTGGGTTCTATTAGAACACCAATACCGGCCTGAGCGTGAGTCGTGATGTTGACAACTGAGAAGAATAGCCTTCAACCGCAGAGATTCAGGATTCAACAGCCCTGCTGATTCATTTACGAGAGTTTAACTATTTCGATTTAGTACTTTACTTCCTCATCAACTAGTTTCTCTGTTTCCCTTAGAGTGAGGATATATTTGTTTCTAACTGTAAACTCCCATTGGCAGTGTCGTTCTCGTCGAGCCTCTTCTGGCGTGCCATAATGGAATCGCGCTATCTGCCTGCCCCGTTCAAATCGGATGACGACTCCGTTTCTGGTTCGTGTTTTGGTCGTCGTTTCATCAATTTTCGAAAATACGTGTCCAGTTGCTGGAAGGTGGTAAACAGGTCCTAATAGCCGACTTTTGCAGCCTACCTCTGTGCCTCAACGGTTTGCGCTCTCCTTGGTAATCCGAGCGACCAACAAACTGCCCAATTCAGAAAGTGTCGCCTTCATGGATTGAAGCACACAGTAATACTGGTCAATTTTTTGTTGCTGAATTCATCAACCCGACGGAGAACTCAAGAATGCAACATGAAGCAACCAAGATGTAAAAGAGCGTGTTTCGTAGGAATGGATTTGGAGAGCTTATTAATAATGTTGGGAGGCTACCGCATTTGAGTGATAAATGAATCTTCTAAAGAGTTTTTTTGATGATTTAAGAACCTGATATTTATTATTTTGATAAGATGGTTTAGAATATTTTAATATGAAATAAAAGCACAGCAATAATGTTAAATCACAGCAATAAAATGTTAAAGATTTTCGAACACCTCGCATCTACCAAAAGTAAACAAACTGTGGGAAAAGATACATTTGCTGTATTACATTGTTCTTACATGTTCGTAGTGAATAAATGAATTCTTGAAGAAATAGTGTACTGTCTATGGACGTAACATGGATACGGTACTAAGAAAAGAAAACAGATTTTTAATCGTATATTTATGATAATATTAACATCGTCTCCTGTTCAAAGGGTATTTTTCAGCTTGGAAAAAATTGTTTCCAACCCCCCAAACATGCGAATGACACGGATGATATTACTTTTTTCGATTCCCTGATATCAATGACCATTTTAGGAATAGGCATAGAAACTGAAAAAAGGCCTCGAAATGTGACAATTTATTCTGGTCACAGTCCGCTGTTCACCGCGATGATGTATGTTTGACTGAACAAACGACTGCGGAAACAGAAATTTTGGCAAATCTGTACAAACTGAAATAAATTAATGAAAATGCAACATGCTATGCATGCGAAGGAAATTATTTGAATGATAAACATATAAGAACTCTGATTTTGCGGCGTCATGACACTCTTCACCTATTTCTAGATGCAAAACTTATTATTTAAGCAGACCAGAGGTCCACAGTAAACACATGCACTTTGTAATATAGTTTTCGAGAGGGCATTTATACTACCGAAAACTGTATGTCACAACACACGATGAGCAGATAGCTGATAACTC